TTCTTCCGAGAGTTGGGGCGCTAGGATGTGCCTCTGGAGGGCGTGGGCCACTTCTTCCGAGAGTTGGGGCGCTGAGCGTCTCTTAAAGTTGCAAAACCAGCGCGGTGGTTGCATTCTCTTCCAGGACGTGCTGAAGCCTCCCAAGAGGAGTGGGCAAAACTCAGGACGCCCTGGAAGCCGCCCTGGCCTGGAGAGGAACTGAACCAGGCCCTTTGGGAGCTGCAGGCCCTGGGTCCTACCCGCGCAGACCCCCATCTCCGTGACTTCCTGGAGAACCACTTCCTGGGTGAGGAGGTGAAACTCATCAAAGAGATGGGCTACAGCTGACTCACCTCCGCAGGCTGCCGGCCCCCACGCTGGGCTGGGCGAGTATCTCTTCAAGAGACTCACCCTCAATCACAACTAGGAGCCTTTGGAGCCCAGAGGCCTTTGAGGGGCCCCTCTGCATTCCCCTGGTGTCTGTCTGGCTTTTGCCTGAGCCTCTCCCGCAAACAATACCATTTGGTATTGGGACCAAATGGAAACAATAAAGCTTTTTGCATCAAAGCAGCCAACAACAGCTGTCTGGTGTGAATGAATCAAAATTACACCTATTTTTTGTTGTCAGGCCGGCAAAAAAGTAATATTTTTTTTTGGTGTGCCACAGAATTTTAGGAATTAGTGTATGTGTGCCATGAGATGAAAAACGTTGGAAATTGCTGTCTTACAGCAATATAATGCTAAGCAAACAAAGTCCCAAAAGAATGCCTACAGGCGTGGCGTCCTTTTCAATTAATTACAAACAATTATTATCTGCACTTTGTAGGCAGCACGTGTCCCTACAATAGAACTATATGAAAAGAGGCAAGAGGTGGTGAATGGGCGATTCTGGAAGTTCCTTCTGGAGAGGAGAAATGGGCAGAGGAGGCGGGGAAACTTGTGGTTACAGTTAAATGGAGGTTACATCATGATACGCTTCATGGTGGCTGCATTATTAAAAACAGGAAGGGAGGAAGGAGGCCTTGCGTGGACCAACGATCACAGTGTGAGAGCGTCATGAACCGAGGATGATGACTCATCTGTGCACTTCAGGTCAAAGAGGATGCACAAGTTGGTGCATCAATTTTGAACCCTGGTTTTGGACAAACGCTTTTCCAAAGCCTGCTCCTGCGCGGGGACCAAGGGCGGCGCTGCTCCCTGCTGGCCACAAGAGGGCGCGCGCCGCTAGGGGAGGGCGCGGACGCCGGCACCAGCCGCCACCTGCGCCTTAGGGTTTTGTTTTTGCAAAAGGAAAGCTGAGCCCAGCTGGGAGCCGTGGCAGCGCCCAAACAGGCGTGGCTGCTGGCAGGAGATCCCGGGGGCTCCCCAGGGAGGGCCCCCGGCCCTCGCGCCGCCCTGGGGTTTCGGGAGGAAGCAGCTGCCTGCCCAGCGAAGCCTCTGCGCGCTCCTGGCCTTGACCCCGACTTCCTGCTGCGCGACCCCACCTCCCCCGAGGCCGACAGAGTTGCAAACGGAGGGCCCGGAGGGCCCGCTGGCTGCATGTACTCCCCCCACAGGCTTGGTCTGGCCTGGAGGGAGTGTACTTTAAAAAGGTGTATTTGACCCGCCGGCGTGGCTCAGTGGTTGAGCGTGGACCTATGAACCAGGAGGTCCCGGTTCGTGTGCCCGAGTTGCAGGCTCAGTCCCCAGGGTGGGGCATGCAGGCGGCAGCCAATGATTCTGTATCATCATTGATGTTTCTATCTCTCGCTCTGAAATAAATATATTTTTATTTTTTAATTTTTAAAAAATATATTTTATTGCTCTTCCACAGAGAGGAAGGGAGAGGGTTAGAGAGCTAGAAACATTGATGAGAGAGAAACACTGATCAGCTGCCTCCCCCACGTCCCCCCACTGGGGGTGTGCCCGCAATCAAGGCACACGCCCCCGACCAGAATCGAACCTGGGACCCTTGAGTCCCCAGGCCGACGCTCCATCCACTGAGCCAAACCGGTCAGGGCTAAAAATATATTTTTTAAAAGTTTATTTGGCAACACTTAAAAATCAGAAAATGTTTACCCCAAAAATCCAATTTTCCCTTCTCTCGGCAACAGTGCGCTGCCGTCCCCCTCCCGGTGCACCCCTGCGTGGGAGCGAGGTTTCTTCATAGTGTTGGTCCCGCCAATATCCAACATGGCCCTTATTCTGGCTGTCATCGCTGCCCAGAAGAGAGCCACATGGCACACTTCATACCACAACATCCCTTTTCTGCACAGCTCTACCTGGGGTTAATCGTGGTCTTTTTAAAAATGTGCATGATTTTCTATGTACACTGAAAATTAAAACCCAAACGATACAAGTGGCTTCAACCTTCTTGCAAGTTGCGGAGGCACCAGGCATGCTCAGGGCGGTCGTCCTGAGGGTGCCCCTCCGTCCCGCCTGCTCTAACCTGGGCGGTGCCCTGTCCATGCCCCTGCCCAGCAGCCCGCCTGCAGCTCCTTCCATGAGTCAGGGGCTTCCTAGTGTGTGTCTTTCCCAAGCAGAGAAACCCCCCTTTTCAATCTAAATCATATGTGAAACTCCATGATATCAAACAGGAAATAGGATATCAATACAATGATCAATTTGCAACATTTACTTACTATAAACCCAGTTCAT